GCTTTCGGTGTAATATGAAAGATCGGAGTTCTGATGCATATACTCTAAATAAGGTGAGCACGAATTGCTGCCTCAAGGTATTGAAAAGTAACGTCAAAGTAATTTCCTTATTTTTAGAAAAAAATTCATGCAATTAATTACTTTTGGTCTCGGTTAATTTATAATTTAATTTGTTTACATTTTAAATGTTTCCAGAAAAAATAATTATTGGTGTTTTAAAGTAATTTTGGCATCTCTTGTAGCTGCCGTAGGGGCCTGCTTCCAAAACGTGAAAATTGGCTCCGATCATATTCGAGAACTGCGCTAGACGCGATCGCAACGCCGCCATTTCTCTCGCAGCGGCCACTCCGGCAACTGGCACGGCTGCACGTACCGGTCCAGTCGAGTAGCGCAAGGGCCGGTGGCGCTTGGGTGGCGCCATCCCGCAGCGGCATCTCGGATTAGTTATATAATGCAGCTTTCTTGTTTTGATTCGCCGCTAAAGGGCGGCGCTGTTATCGTATTTAGTTCGGTCTCAGTGGGCGCAAGCGGTTCGGGTTTCGATCGTGAGTTTTCCAAATGAGTTCTTCTAGTAACGTTGGGGTGAACATTGATAGACGTTGCTTGACTGGCACTAGCGGGTTTAGCGTCCAGTATGCTTTGGCGGTGAAGCGAGCACGCATAAAAATTTCTCCTTCCTCCTGTTTGGCCACGCACACACCTTTTTTGCGCTCTGTTGCACTCGTAGGTATTCGCGGTGACAAATCCATAATTGTCGAAAGATACTATATTAGTAAGCTGCACTTTTCAAATGATGTCGTGAAATCTCCGAAACAACAAATGTTCTAAAAAAAAAACGCGTTCTCGTTTGCAGCTTTAGAAAACCTTCGAGCCATTTGTATTCTCGATATATGGAACTCGCCTCTATTTAGCCGGTTGTGCCAGGGTCAACTACAATTGGTATGGGAAGACGTCACCAAAGACAGCGGAGCAGGGGAATATATCTAGACAAGATAACAATTTAAGTAGCTGGAACTATTCCATCTACTCAAGTAAGAACGCTGGGCTCATCGTGCCCGACGACTCAGTGCAACTAGGTTAGGCAAAAGACGACAGTCTCTTCGTCAGTGTTCGACGGACGATGATCATGGTTCATTTACGGATTGGTCCGGCCGCTCTTGCGATGGGGAAGGAGTCTACTTATATTTGATAAAAGCTGAATAATGTTCTTCCTTCTGACGCAACCGACCAGAAGCTTTAGTGTGTGCCGGAAGCCGCCATCTTTTTCGGCTTGGCGACTCCTGAGACATGTTTTTTTTCTACTTTCCTGCGGAATCTTCGTCCGCATTTGAACCCTGCAGGCCTCATGTAGCCTTCAATGATTTCTTATGGCCCGTGTTACTGTCACATTTGCTCGCGCCAATGCGAGCCAATGCTGTATTTGTATTTGTATTTGTACTGTATTTGCCATCACTATAGCAATAACCATCAGCATACTAATATAGCCATTACTGTATATACTACTGGTTGCAACCAGTAGTATATACAGTAAGAAAAAAGTGTAAATATCTCAATCAACGAGATTGGACGAATTAATATAAAACCATGGTTTTATATTAATTCGACCAATCTCGTCGATTGAGATATTTACACTTTTTTTTTAATAAATATATGTTATATCCGGTTGGATTATCGTTTAATATACGGCATATTTCTTCTTTTTCGCACTCGCACATATTCGCGGTGGTAAAGCCAAAATTGCCTTAAGATAGCAGGTGGGACTTTTCAAATGATGTCGTTAACTCCCTTTACAACAAGTCTTTTAGAAAAAACAACAACCAAAAAAAGTGTTCTCTATTGCAGCTCCACTAAAACCTTCGAGCCAATTGTAATTTTTATATATAAAAGTGGTTTCTATTTTGTCTGCTCACCCATGTCAATGAGTTCTTCTTAACATCACACATAGTTTTCCCGAGTCGCCTTTATTCTCTAGCTCCGGCGCAGATCAATTTCTTGCAGAAGAATTAATGGCGCTGTTTTTTTGTTTTGGTTTTTTCCACGCGACGAGTATCGACCATCTTGACTTCTTCCACATAAGCAGGACAGGTTGCGCCAATGTCAATTACAATCTAGTCGGATTAACGGGAAGACGTCACCAACGACAGCGGAGCCGGAGCATAAATGTAGACAGAATAGCAAATTATGTAGCCTCAGGTCAGGACGCTGGGCTTATCGTGTCTGACGACTCGGTGCAATTAGGTTAGGCAAAAGACGACAGTCTCTTCGTCAGTGTTCGACGGACGATGGTCACGGCTCATTTGCGGACTGCTCCGGTCGCTCTTCTAATGGGGAAGGAATGATGTGATACTTGATAGGGGGGTTGGATAAGGTTCTTTCTTTTCACGAAACCGCGAAGCCGGAAGCTGTAGTGAGTGCTGGAAGTCGTAATCTTTTTCGGCTTGGCGGCTCCAGCGACATGCCTTTTCTACTCTTCTTTGGACCCTTCGTCTGCATTTGAGCTCTGCAGGCGTCTCCTAGCACTTAATGAACACTTATGGCCCGTGTTCCGGTCGCATTGACCAGCGCCATCGAATGTAATCCGTTTCACGATAACTTGGCGAACTGTTGAGGCTGCAGCCCCCGCGACACAGTAAGAGCGTTGGGGCGAGGCGCATGACAACACGTCATGAGGAGCGTTTGTGACAATTCGCCGAATGCGAGGTCCGGAGGTACGAGCTTTCGTCTGCAGGCCAAGGGTAGTCTGTTGCGAAGAAAAATCCAACTTCCGATGAACGTACACCGACGCAGCATTACCGCCCACTATAGCGAGTTCTTCGAGAACAGTTTATGAGACAACCATGCGCTCCATTTACCTGCGAATCGGTTTACCTGGTTTCTGGGCGGTGTTTTGAGTGGAAGCGGTCGATTACACGGCTGCGATCGTTGCAACATCGTTTAAACGTAATGCTGTTTATAAAACAAAATGAGATGTGGCACTACTTTTCAGGGTTAAAGATAATTGAAAAGAAAAAAAAATATGTTTATAATTTATTTTTTATTAGTTTATACATTCTTGATGGAGCTATTGAACTAGATATATAAAACGGCAGATGAACTAGATAGTTCAATTGCCGTTAAAAAAAAGAAGCCTAGGAAAACGTTTTGTCGCGGAAGGCGCTGTTACCAAAGCGGTAACGAGGCCTCCGTGGTATCGACCATGGAGTGTTGTCATTTGCTTCGCTCCGACGCTCTTATTGGGTCGCGAGGATCGCAGCCTCCAGACTTCGCCAAGTTATCACGAAACGGAGTATAGTATGCTCCTTTTGTACCCTGATGGACGTGCTCATGGAGTTACTATACTTGCAGATGACTAGAACAATAAATAGCCTTCGCTATATTAATACATCCATTACTCTATATACTACTGGGTGGTTTCACGTTTTTCGACCATTCGACCATTTCAAAAAAATATGAGCGATTTCTGAGTGGTTTATCATTTCATAGGTGGCTTATAATAAAAGCTATACACTAATAATTGTTTCATATCCTGGTTCGTTACGGTTCTGCTTCTACAACAATCTGAAATTGAGGCGAAATTGCTCGGATTAGCAAGTAGCGATTTTATATATAAAAAAAATATAAATATAAAAGCAAAAAAGTCGGTTATTTTGTAAAAAAAGAAAAGAAACCCGTAATCGCTTTGAAAAAAAAAAAAAATATTAGCAGTGTGAAATATATTAGAAATTTGTAGACAACACCATAATTAGAGAAAAAAATCGAGGTTTTGACGCATTCTGCCGAGTGGCGCATTCAAACTTCCCTCTATGAAACGTTTGAGCTCTAACATTTTTAAGCCGCTGTTTCGTTCCTTCCAGGACTTGATGTATCACGCATTTGTTTTAAAAAATACATGGACCACCGCTTACAAGTCTGGCCGAATTCAAATGAAGCCACCCTACAAAAAGTAGTCTATGGTATCACATGTTGTCAAGTATAAAGTCCTGGTGCTTGCACTTTGCTGCTATCTGTTCGCACCGTCTAACTGTCAAGATTGGCTGGAGTGTGGTAAAAGCGGGGAGTGTTATGTTCACCTGGAGTTTGGTGAGGATGCGAGACATACAAAATTGCAGGGATCCCACTTTCCGCGTTGGCTCGTAAAAGGCATTAACTTCGAGAAGTAGTTCCATAAAGAAGTACACAAAGCCATTATTAACTCTTACCATGCCATTGCATATAGTAGTTGTCACGTTTCACGCTCAGCAACTTTGCCCCAAATAATTGTGTTGTTTTATATCTTCTTGTGGGAAACTTTAAGTTTGAGTTATTAGCCGTTGCAGGATTTTATGTTTAGAATAAGATACGTTCATCTGAATCCCTATCTAATGCAAAAACCTGCGACATTGAAAATAATCAGTGAAGAAGCTGTACAGGAGATGTTCCTCTTTATGTAACATTTGTCGATGTTACTTGCATGGCACTCTTTATAAATGAACATACATCATTGAAAAGCGATAGCCGTATTTAGCCGACACAACCACATACTCATCGGGTAAAATACAAGTCAGCATCCATACATATTCGGTGAAATGTTAACATACCCCTCCATTCGACCGTCCATTCAAGGATCTTTTCTTAAAATAAGCTCTGCTGAAATTTTAGACAAGTTAAATAAAGTAATCGAACATCTCAAAGTACAACAGATTTAGCGCAAAGCACTCTGACAAATTATAATCCCGCATTCTGTATTTGCGGTGAAATTGTTAAACGGGTTGTATATTTCTCTTTCACACACGTTGAAGCACAAACCGGCCTCGACTCTTTAGCCAAAACCGATTACAAACAAACCGAAGTATTGAGGAACCTCGGATGATACAGACGAACTGATAATTTACAGAAATAGGTTCACAGTTATTAATAGGACGCTCTCTTAACTGCATCCTTCAGCGTCAATTAGAAATATCTGCAAACTCAAAAACAGAACACTGATGAAACACAATAACCAAATAAAGTAACCGACCTGTCTAGTTCGAACTTTCGGAAGTCTCTAGCTCTATGAGAGTCACAAAGTTTCCCTTTCCGTTGAGAACATCGCCGGAAGAGTCACCCACTTCGATGATAGTGACGTCGTTCTGCTGCTGCTTCCCGTTGCGTTGCGTACGTGACCGGAAACGACGCCTAACACGGGTCACAGCTACCCCTTGTCCCTGACGCACCGACGGCTCTGAGTAGTCCGGATCATACTCAGCGTCAGACTGCGTTGCAGACACAACAAGACTGTCCGATTCTATGGAAGACACTTCTACACTATGGTGTGGCAGGTCACGCGAGCACACGTGCACGAAGTTCGCTTCTTTCCGCAACGCTTCCATGGCGTCGAAGCCTCTTGGACAAGGCGTCCTCCCGCAGTCCTGGTAAGATATATCTATGGCCGGGAAGGGCTGTTGCGGTAACTCTTGGAGGGAGTCCATAGTGTCGAAGTGGCACGAAGAGTCCTGAAGAGAGTCAAAGATAATCGACTCGTCGAGGGCCTCAAGCAGTGTTTGGTCTGGAGGAATGGACAGCTCCTTACGTCCCCTGGAATTGAGAGAGTCACAGGGCGAACAGAACGACTCGTTCTCAGCACTCGATGACACGATGTCTTCGTCGATGTCCTTGGAAGTCGACGGAGACGTAACTCTCGGAGGTGGTCTCGGTGGAGGTGCGTGAGGAAGACCTTTGGGTGGAGGACTCGGAACAACGTTCTCGTACGGAGGAGTGTCACAAGGGTCCTCGCGTCTGTCCGGCCGTTGCATGTCTCTTATTTCCTTGAGCTTCTGCAGCTTCTCGTAGAGATCCTTGCGGAAACTGTCGAACCTGACCTGCTCGTCGTCGTCGTCCCTGGACCGCCGCTTGCGTCGCTGTGGTGGCAGCGGTGGGAAGTCTGGTTCTACGGTAGACTTGAGCTCAGAGTCTCTAAAGCTCTCGTTGATCTCGAAGACTCGGTGGCACTCAACGCTGAGGAGTGGGTTGTGCCGGATGCCACCGTTCTTGTGCTGGAACTGGTGCTGCTGGTAATAGAAGTAGTCGTCCTCCGGGATGTCCATGAGGGTAGGCCGGAACCGGAAGTTACGCAGCCTCGCCCTGGCGGCGGAGATCATCTCCCGTATTTTGACGAGGAACTCTTGAGCAGGTGGTGGTGGACTAGCCAGCATCTCCGGTTCGAGCAACTCAGGGTTCAAGCTGAGCTGCAAGGCTGCACGCCGGAAGGAGTTACATTCAGCCGTATGTCGTTCCTTGCTTGTTTCGGGAGCAGGGGTTAGCTGACTGGCGTGGTGGTTCTGCTGGATCCTTTGTCGTTGCTGGGCAGTCTGCTCTTGTTCTTGACTCGTCTGCGCGGGGAGCATTGTATTAGGAAACTCTATCATCAGTATTACAATACATGAATTGGAGTCTGCAGGGGCCTATTAGAAGGTATGCTTCGCAAGTTACTCGTTTCGCCCTTGTTTTGAGGCTCCGCTGTGTTTCAAGGTATTACCTTGCTGCAACCCGAAGCTAGTAATCGTACACGAAATTGTAAGCATTTGCTGCAATCTGTTGCTTCCATAATATTAAACCCTTACAATTGTAGTCGTTCATGAACTACCAGCTGTTGTCTTTCCGCTCTAATAATTTAAAACGTGACCGCAATGGTGGCTGGGCCTTTGGAAACGACCGAATAAGTCAAATCCTTTAAGAAGGTGTGACGTAATTTATTGCGAAGGTGTTAGGAAAATCTGATTTTGTTTTCTCAAAATAGAAAAAAGGTGACTTTTCGTAATATAAGATAAAGGAAACCATAATTTTTAATACGTTAATTCAAGTTTGTTCCAAACCATCAAATACCATGTTCCGTTAGGGCATTTATTTCCGTGATAGTAAAAGAAAAAAAGATAAATAAATTTTATTCTATTTTTTTCAACTCGTTTCTGTGTCGGAACAAACGCAGCAATGACGTACATTGCTATTAGATCATATTGCTAAGAAAGGCTTAGAGAAAATCGAGTTATTTTTCACTCGTGAGGGAAAAAGAATTAAAAAAGTTATTCTCTTTTAACAAAGCTTTATATAAAAATATTAGCTTATTTTCAGTGGAGTTGATATTTGAATATCTTTAACTCAACCACGCCACCTTCGTTTACCTACATAGTAAATTACAGGGCGATACGTTGAGATCGATTCATTTATGCGGTGCCTTCAAAGCGCCTTGACGCTATGGCCGTCAGCCATAGCAGGATGATTGGCACGCTCATTAGAGTCATATGAATGACCGAAAACAATAAGGAGTGTTAGATATGCCTGTACCTTTAACTGATACAAAAATTTAAGCTTGATAATTTTACTCCCCAGGACTAAGATACACAAAGGAATCCATAAAAAGTAGGGTTCTGCTTATGGTTATTTTTTATTAAACTGCGCTCAGCTAATAGTTTCTGTGCGCAATGACGTTCAACCGGAGAGGAGTTATCGTGTCGTCCTTCGCACACCAGGAGCTAGAAATGACAGGCTTTCGATTGGAGTGATAATTGAACACATCTTTAAAGCAGTAATTTACTGTCCAGAATATCTTCCTTTCCTGTAATATGCACCGTAGCCGACTAAAAGAAAAGTGAAATATTTTATTCCAGCGTTTATACAATCCAATAAAAAAAGGTTGATCCAAAAAATAACGGATCGTTCTATATAAAAATAAGTGGAATGCTGTAATCGCAGTGTATTCCCGTTCTACTCCGTTGGTATTCCTAAAGCCCTAAAGGTTTATGGACATTAACACTGCGTGTTATGTTGCAGTTAGACTACATCAGATAACCTTTAAGTTATTCATGAACATGACAAAACCGCCGAGACTGCAGGTAACGAAACAACGAAACCCAGACACTCTAGAAAAGAAGCACAAATAACGTTAAAAATCAAATCTTAAAAAAAAAAAAAAAAAATATCGGGGAAATGCAACTTTGCGTACCGACTTTGTGTCTTCTGTAAGTAACACCAACTAAATGAAATCATTGATCAGACTAAATCAAGGAGCGAGAATGCGCGGCTGTAATTCCCCACGGTTTCCCAAAACTAAAGAACACAGGAATTGCCTCCGCGCGGGACGGACCTTGTGATCGTTTTTCTTGTTGATGCGATTTAATATCAATAAACAATTTTCAAAGGTTGGGGTCGCCACCTAGCAGTACACTGCTTCGATTATTCGAGTCAGCCATTATTTGGGCACGTAAGACTGAACATGTATTGGACGCGACAGCTGCGTCAGCGTTCAAAGGGAACTCGGCTTCGCTCGTTTAAAAAAAAATTAAGTAAAAAAGGTCTGCGTCAGTCTACCAAGACGATTTTAACCCTGGACCAAAGCTGAAGGAGGAATGTTTGTTTTTAACGTGGAAGAAACAGGCACACACGAAGTATCTGGAGACGTTGTCTCTCCCGGTCACGTTTTCTTCAATTGTGGAAAAAAAGGGTTTTATTGGTTTGTTTTAGTCTTGGGTTAAAATCATTACGGTAAACATCCACCAGCTCACCTGCACACTGACTGTAATTTTGTTAAGCTGATTCGTTAGTGCTGGCCAGGACTCCGATCCAGTCACAGACTTCGTGGCCAAGAAACGGCGACTACCGGTTGCTTAACGTTTTTTTTTTTTTTTTTTTCTTGTTTTTTTTTAAGGATTTGTTAGGGTTCAATTGAATCACATACACTCCAGAGAAACCTCCGCACGTTCTCTAATTCGAGTCGCACTTAAATGAAAATAAAAGAAGAGAATGAGGAGCAGACCAGATGATAATTCCGGTCAAATAACATAAGCGAGACAAAGCGAAAACATTAAGTTATTGTAATTAGTTAGTGCTTTTTTTTATTGAATCGCAAAGATTGAAGCTACACGTGTTTCATAGCAAACTGTGCCTGCCATAATTTCTCGGCATTCAGCAGAGCACAGCGCACTGTAGTCACTGGAAATCTTTAAGAAACGCAGGGCGCGCCGAGACCCGAGTATCTGTTCACACTCTGCAGCCAATGAAAGCGCCGCATTACCCGATACCTTTGACGAGCCAATCACGAACCAAAGGAGTGGGAAGCGAAATAAGCAGCACCCTGCGTTTCATAGGGTGTCATTGACTCCACTCTAAGGACTCCGGCGCGTTCATCTCTTTGCAAGATGCTCGAAAGAGCGCTGCAGTCTGTTAGCGACGTGACGTATCGAAAGCGTCGCGGTGGTCGGCCCTCCACTATCGGCCGGATGCTGACTTTGACGTCAGCAAAGGATTCCTCATCGACGGAAATAAGAGTAATGTAAAAACTTCGATTTCGACGGTGTTGGCAGTATTGATCTAATGCGCAATGATTTCCAGCTTACATCCTGCTAACTAAAACACTATCGAACTTGTTGTCCACAGGGTAATGACGTCACGAGAGGTAACCATAGGAGGGCACCGCCCAAACATCTCGCCGCTAATTAGTGGCGAGATGTTTTGGTGGTACCCTCGTTCGGTTACCTTTCGTGACATCATTAACTTGTGAACAGCAAGTTCAATGGCGTTTGTAATGGGCATGGTGGGAGCCTGAAATCATAGCGCTCTCAAATCAGCACTGCCAACACCGTCAAAATTGAAGTTCGTACTTTCCTCTTATTTCCGTCGATGAGACATCCTTTGCTGACGTCATAGTCAGTATTCGGCCAATTGTGGTGGGCCGCCCACAGCTAAGCTTTCGATCGCTCACGTCGCCAATAGGAAGAACGCTTGACGAACGACGAGGCCGCAAATACGTGCACACCTAAAAGGCAATTTGCGCCCTGACACAGAGCGGGAGGTTGCACGTAGTTTCGTCACACTCAATGTCACACTGCGCCGGCATGTATTTTGAAGCGTAAACATATATCCATTCTCGTCCTTCACCCTGCAGTTCCCTCAGTAGACTGTAGCGATTGACTTTCCCAAGTAATATGGGGAAACGTTAGACGCATCCAATTCTATCAGTGATAGCTTTCAAGGGCGACATGTCCCAAGGCATGAACACTCTAGAAAATGACCGTGAATTCACTTTTTCAGAGAACACGGAGGTAGCCAATCCCGGTGAACAATAGAGGATTGCCGTCATATTTCACGAACGTCAGAATATATAGGAGAAAAATGCGACGTGTGCAAAGACAATGAGAAAGTGAACGTCATACACATTGTCCCTGAGCACATGGTATTTTTTTTCTCTAATCGTATTCTGAACTTCTTCATCCATTGGGAGACATTTGCTGCGCACTGCGATTGGCTGCCTTTGTTTTCTGCAGGAAAGTAAACTCACAGTATTTTTTTTTTTTTAAGTGCACCGTCTCCGTGATTTACAGAAGGAGCACACATTAGGCCCGCCCTTTTCGCGACATTAGATCCCTTAGTATGTACTCACATCCGAATCGTCCCGGAGATAACTTGTGAACCCCGGCTTGAGCCTTCCCTGCCGAACTTTGAGGTAGACCAGAACCGCTAACACGTATACCAGTCCCAGAATCCCCAGACACAACCCCACGATCGTGAAGTCCGTGGTTTTGCGTTCTATAGAGGTTACCCCGGGAGCCCATCCTGCCCTGAACGCGACACAGGGTTCGAACACAGCACCCTGCGCGTCTGCACATCGAATCCTCAAAAGCAAAAGCTTGTGCTGGAGTTCTCTTCGTCGTCGTTCGTCGCCCAGCCACTGGAGGAACGTGCGATTGCTGTCCTGGTACAAGGCGAAGAGCGGAATCCTCTCTGTGGATGCCTGGATCCAGCCGTCCGAGCTCAGGTACTGGGTTCGGTTCACGCGGCACCAGAGAGGCTGCACGGACGCCGCACCTGTTGAGAGGCATTAGAAGGAATAGGTAAAGTCGAGAGTCCTCGAATGAGTGGCACTTTGGAGTACCGACACTCTAGTTTTCGACTATCTTGCAGCCTCTTCTATTGTTTTGCTGTAGTGCCGCAGAGCGTACAGCAAAGCAGCAGAGCAGAGCTTTTTGCAAAGCGTGCAGCGCCGTACGTGACGCCAAAAGGAGTGCCGGGAATGCAAGGACCGGCTTTAGCAGACAACAGAGGCGAGGTTGATAGCAACGGCGAGCGGACGAGGGCGGGCGAGCAACTCGGTTACCCTCCCACTCTCTTCAGTGTCACGTGGGGGGCGCGCATGGACAAGGAAGGAGACTCCCCTCACGGATTTTGGAATTATTGCGAAATGTCTATTGGCGATTGTTACAATTTGCAAAATGCGACTCCATGGGCTTGAAGTACGGTGTCATGAACTCAGTCAGTATATAGAGTTTGAGCAAGTATCGTTAACGGGGCGAGAAAACGATTTGCTAAAACTCTCTAATATCGTTTCTGTTTTGTCGCTAATCGTTCTAACGTGTCTGGAGGATGGAAGGGTGATTACTGCAATTTTAAAGAAGGTTCGGAATAACTAGCAACTATTATTTTAAGCACGAAGATGGCTGGAGAGCCATTGCTCTGAGGTGCGACCTATTTAGTGGCTTTGGTGTAATATATTTCAATAGTTGCCTTTCGGCCGCAGCCATCTTCAGGGCTGCGGAACAAGTTGTAAGCATGCGTACATCTCTCTTCTGCGTATGATTACATTTTGTACATGGGTCCAGAGCTCCGTGACTCGACCCCTTTCGTCGAAGTGATAAGCGCTAAAAACATTGTATTTATTTATTTCCTCTTGGCAGGCACGTAGCCAGGATTTTGTTTGGGGGGGGGGGGGGGGGTGGTGACGCCTATGACAAAATGCTGTATGAGGGGGAGGGGGGAGGAGGCCCCAGCAAAATGGAAGATTTCAGGGGGGGGGGGGGGGGGGGCAGGCCCCATGGGCCCCCCTGGCTAAGTGCCTGCCTCATGGCCTAAATACATGACAAAGGGGAGTGGACAACAACACGTAAATAACGTACATAAAACTACGACGAAGAGAGCTGAAATTAGTCAGGTTAACATATAAAATACAGGAGGATTCATCGGTGGCTTCTTCGAGAATGCGTTAGCATGACCCATGAAAACGCCTCACACGTTTCCTTTTGGGAACCCCTAATTCTGACCCCTTCACTTTTTCTTTTGACTTTATCTTTTGCTTCCTACATTTTTTCCGGCGTCTTTTTGGCCTTGTTACAGAGTCAGTATCAGCGTTTCCCGAGGGGGACGCCTGTGTTGTTTCCCAAGATTCACGCTAATGAATTCCCCAAAAATCCAACAGAGGATTTTCCTTTAATTAATTCCACCCTCCTTTTTCTACTCTGCCTGTCAGAGTACGTCGACGCCCTTGTATACGGTCATCATATCACTCGTGGAAAAAAAACACATCCATATCACTCGTGGAGTGAGCCACATTCATTGTTATAACTACACAAATACATCACAACCCACGCACCGCTTCTACGGAAACGCAGAGCGAAGAACAACCGGCGACGGCACAGCGGCAGCTGAGCACTCCCGCATTCCATCGCTTCGCGGCGCAACACCTCGTAGATAACAGATGGCGTCATCAGAGAAGGCAGAGATTGGACACGACGATTGCATCAACGTTTGGCTCAAACTTGACTCGAAGCCAAGTGCTGACGCAGCACTCTTTTCCAATCAATTTGTGGCCAGTGTTGGCCTTCTCTGATTAAGCCATCTCATTCAGCACTACGGCTTTTTGCCCTAGGGTCTGTTGTGCGGCGTCGCCTCTTCTCTGGCTGCGATGCAGCTCTGCGCATGACCTTGACGAAAATGAAAGGGCTCGTTTTGACGAAAACCCGGCGGTGCCTGTCAGTTTATTAGCGTCTGGGAAAGAGGGAAGGGCTTACGCGTACTCACGTCAGCACTTCGGAACAACAATGGAATCGTCGCACGCGACAATAGACAAACGAAAGACACCGCCGTTTTTAGTCAAAACGAGTGTTCTAATGCTGACGCGAAAAATAATATATCATTACTTAAACTACCTCAATTTAATGTGGGAAGTATGTTTTCTAAACGAAGCATTAACAAACTCCCTTCCTTAGAGAGAAGCACAAATATGCGTCACGTAAATGGCATGCCATATCTGCACACCGTAAAAAAAAAAAAAAAAAAAATTAATTTTAGCAATGTAGTTTATTTTAACATATCGTACAATACCTTCATGAATTTCATCTTCTATACTAATAACACATTTCAGACGCAAAACGCCGTAAGTTTTGAAAGAAGCCTTCTGAACCGGTGAAGAGATTATTGACTGTATGTCTGCGACGCAAATGTGTTTGAAATATGGCTGATGCTGTTGCATCGAACTAATTATTTTAAACAATCAACAGCATAAATGATCCAGTGTTTTAGAGCAAACTATATATGCTTCCGGTCAATCATAATATACTCCGCGTGCAGGATTACGTCAACTATTCATAAATGACAAATCTCATGCTATGTACTCATTTTTCTTCCACTATGTAGATTCGTGAAGTTGATAATCTTGGAGTCAGTATACATTTTCTTCCACTTAATATATTTTAAGGTTTTGGCAGAGCCTTGGAAGTGCTGGCAGTGCAGAACGATCCTACAAATGTTCATTGTATTATATACTGGTGCTTCCTGGCATTTTTGTTTTTGTTTTTATGCCATAGATTTTCAGTGTGTTTTACTTTTGTTTTTGCCAAGGAGACTTATATGGTGAAAATAAACGATTGAACTTTAGAACTGTATAGAAGAATAAAATAGAGTCAAAGGTAAAAAAGGCCCCTTTATTTCCCCCCGCATTTATTGGTCCTCCTTTGAAACTGAACAACGGAAACGTAGGTAATGAAAATATCTTAATGATGAAGAAAGCCGGGAAGGGTTAGTTCAGGGTTCACAAAGAAAATTGGCGCCCATTGCCTTAAACGCTAGACACATTTTGCACTTAATCCAATGGCTTGCGGTTCGTAACATTATATAATCAGTAGGCCCGAAACGTATAATAAAGGGGTTCAGTAACTTCCTGCCAAGTAGAGTTAGTTATCCCTTTATTAGTAGAGAATCTCAAAAGCCATTTACACCATTTTAAGAATTTGGCGTCCTTCCCTATGCCAGTTTTGCGAGTGATGCAAAAATATAACCCTAACATTGTTTTCCTCTAGGTAGGCCAGCAAGTTTTAGCTGCTCTTTCCTTAGTAATGGGCTAGGTTCCGAACGGCGCAGCACATGCACCTGTTATGGTGAAGCCTTTTGAGAACCACCTTTTGTTCACAACTCACACACCCCTCGTCACATTCTTCTTTTGGTATTTCCTTAACATACCCATCGACAGCGCCCATTAATCTGAACGCCGTTGCTTGGTCACAGATAATATTAATCTATTACTGGCTACTGAAAACTAAATTGGTCACTGCAGCATTTGCAATATCTTCCCCAGGCTGGGCTGTGATTGGGAAGCCAAACTGCACCAAGTAGCTCGTTCGGTGAATAAATAAAAAAAGTGCCAAAACCGGACGATTTCGTGCTGGAGGCGATAAGTTTGGGAGCACTGTACATAGTGCTTGTGTGGCATATTCCCAGCAATCATTTATTATTTGGCAGGCATCCAGAGTCCAGCAATTATTGCGCATTAAGTACAACCACATGACGTTTTGCAATAAACATGCATGAAATGTTAAGCGTCTTAGAGGAAACCATAGCTGAGACATTTTTCCAGCCCCTGTGCAGACGGCAAGGCCATCAATTTTCCTCACCCGCTCCACTCATCTATTTTATTGAAGCTAGGCAGACTTCCGTATTAAAAACAATTCGGCGTTTTGAGCATACGCCAAGATGCGTGTATTTCATGATCAATAAAAGATCCGCTGACAAACGTTCATAAAGAAGAATAATGAACATTGAAAAGCGCGCACAACCGAAATGTTTATTGTCCTTAATGGGGCGCCCATAACAAGGGATTTACATTTCAAGCGAATCGAGGACAATCATTAATCAAGGAATATCCGAATGGCCATCCGTACGTGTACGTGCTGCTTCCCGGAGGCGCCTATTATAAAGAACCCATTAATAAAGCTGTAATATTCAAGATAAAACACGTAGTTCCGTGTATTGAAAAATGCCCTAATAACTCCTACCTCCATAAAAATTCGATTCAATCTCTTCATATCTTAATAACCGTTGGCGATCCAGTTTGACGTCGACTGAACTGCCCTTGAACTCAGCCTTTTTACGCTCTGACTAGTTCAGTCAGATGCGTCGGTTGAGACAGCTACGACAGAGCAACCAGAAACAATATTCCCTGTGGCAACCAGACAGAGAAGTATCGTTCTTGTTATTGTGGTTTCTGTTTGCTTACACACCGCGATGTTTGTCAATTCTAATGGGTGTCTGATATCTCTGTTTTACGTGAGAAATTAGCCAGCGCAGGACTGCGGCCAGCATAAAATCCACGTCTTTTAGCAAAAAAGAAAAATGGCACAATGACAAATCTTCCGATAACTAGAATGGATTTACATCTGATGATTGCTTCAGCAAGCTTCTGATTGTATTGCTTGCGAGGTTGCATGATGCAGTCAGCGGTCCAAGTGAGTCCGTGAATGACGTGAGACGCGCTGAATGCAATCGACTCAACTGCCTGAACCGGAAGCCAACATTTGCATCGTTAATTTTTCCCGGAAAATATGATCTCCAAGATATATAATATTTTATTGAACGTTTGTCTATCGTGTCATGCTCTCTATGTGCACTTGTGTTGTATTGAAACCATAAAATCAACGAGCAATGAAGATATACGGCAGGTTGAACACGAACTAAAAGTAGCGTTCGTCTGAGCAAAAAACAGCGAGCTCTATTTATATCTTCCGTTTGTTCGTCAATGACGAAATGTTCTTTCACAAACAAATTGGTATATGAAAGAAAACAGAACACAAATAAAGGTACTATTGCGAACAAATGAGTACGCGCGAAGAACTAAATAAGCTAAACTGTAAAAATCAAGCAAATTTTGTATGGTTGTGTATACATTACCACAAGTTGTTATTTAAACACCTTAAAAGTTTAAATTTCAAATAAGGAATTATTCCTAATTATTTTCAGTGGTGTGACACATTTATGGATTAATTCATTTTTAAGGCTTAAAAATGTATCTGATGATAAAAATATCACCTAATTCTACAGTGATTTCAATCAAATTTATCTGATTTAAATTAAGTAAAGGCGATTTATATCAACTATATCTGAAACATTTGATATACATTCAAAAAACATGATTTTCTACGTGTCCTTTCCCGTTGAAGGAGTTTCAAATAATGCCGTAAAGAAGAAAATAATATTATTTTTTTTTTCTGGCTCAGTTTAAAAAATGCAAATTATTTTGTTGTAAACACAAAAAAAAAAATATAAATATATCAAGTGACAAGTAAGTCGATTCTATAAATGGTGCTGCAAATTATTGAATAAATTATTTTACCCGTTAGTCGCTTAGAACTTTTACGGGTTTGTTTGTACATAAGTGAAAAATAACGCTACTTCAAACACTAAACGAACGTAACCAATGGAGCCGTCTGAACCAAGCCAACGTTTATTCCGTTCACAGCAACTGAAAAGAAAGCGTCGACAATCGGATCGGGCTAACTGTCCATTGCACTTTGCGTGGAAGCCAATGAAAGCGGTACGCGCGAACAAAAATCAAGGTGTTGAAAAGGCGCGTGTTCGTTTGGATTCTACACTTTCTCGATCGCAAACAAAGTAACCCACCCAATCTTCGAACTACGTTCGTTGCCATGGTGAATATTAATCATGGTCGTCCTCAAAACGACGTCGTTTCAGCACTTTTTTTCTGCTACGAACGCATACCGACACAATCCCGTCTCACTTCGACTGACGAAGTTAGAGTTCAAGCAGTTCTCCGGCTAGTTTTCAGCAACCCCCAATAACTATACTTTTTGAATCCCCGGCGTCCACCATTTCCGGTAGGCTATTTAGGATCGCGAAATTCATAATAGTTATTGTGAAATCGGCAAATGAAAATGATCCAAAAACCAAGATTCGAATATACCCGCTCTTTTCAGTGCCGTGACATCTGTGGCAGACAGGCTTTTCAACCGAGCAAGCAGTCAAAAGTAGACTATGCCAAGCACTTGTTCCGCGCTATTGCGCGGGTACAGCAGCCAGCTTCTAAAGATTCATTTGACACCCTGAAACTGTTTGGTATCAGGGAACGAATTATAAAGTCTAAAGATGAACCCCTGCGTTCCTCTGGCGTCAATGTTTCGTTCTTGCCAGTAGAGACTTTCAGTTTGAAAAGCACGATGAGGACCAAAATTGTAAATTTCATAAATTCGCGAGAAAAACAAATATATTTCGACATAATATTTGGGATACTATTTCAGCAATGTTTATTGGTGTGTTTAAGTAAATGTTCTATTCCAATCCGGGGCCATGAAGAAATCGCTGGAGTGCCCCTTTAAGCCCGGGGTCATGTGCAACTGCATGTGCGCTCATATATCGTTGCCTTGTGTCGTTGACTGCATAGCCACAGAACGCTGTCCGCGAGTACTGTGTGGTAACTGTGACTTAGCGTAACTGCTGCAAACACGCGTCACCGCAATAATCGTGGTTTGAACGGCGCGTGCCAAGTTCATCTTTGAACTCATTGCCATGCGGTATTTGGAGTACGGATCTCGTGCTGACTCGCGTTCGAATCTGTATGCAGGCGTTCGAATTTGTACGATGTATAAGCAGTGTGGCCCCGACTTCTACGTTAAGACACAACTGTGAACTAACGGTGCATTCGCAGTTTATATACCATGTGCCATGCTTCTTGAATTGATTGCTATTTCATGTGTAAGACGCGAATCCACCATTAACTTCGGGCCGTATCTCGAATTAAGTTTCGTTACGTTATCTAACGTGACAACACGTAACTCTGTGATTGAGTCTTTTATCCGGTTTGTTAACCCCAGTAACAACAACAAAGCGCGCAGTAAGGATAGGTGGTTTAGCACAGTTGGAGTGAGAAAAAAAAACAAAAAAAAAGCGCTGTGTCTATTTAGGACCTTTTCTCTAGACCTCCGATTTTCCCCCGCTTTTTTCACTTAGGCTTTAGTATCAAAATTGTGAAAGTGATGAAACAAACAGATTGGCGTGGCAAGGAATGTTCTTCAAGCCCAGCAGCCTCAAAGGTAAGGACAACTCCTGGCGAGTCTTGAGAACAGTTGTTTCTCACCTGTGAGGCTCAGGTGAGCTCCGGGATGGACGATCTGGCCTGCCAACGGCAGAAACACCACGGGAATCTGCTCCATCGCCGCGCCGGGACGCACAAAGGCCCCTAGGCGACACTCCCCCAGGTCCCTCACACAGGTCCTGATGTCCTCCCGGTAGGTATGGTGCGACGGCGCGCACTGGCACCGACACGAGTCCCCACCCAGGGCTTCCGCAGCGTCCGGCCCGCAACCCCTGCAGTCTCTGAATAGGTCGCCGCCGTGATGACGCGACACCTCCACTTCCCTCGACGAAGCCAGCGCAGCGACGTGGGCTTCCAGGAGTACACCTACGGCGACCAGGAGCAGACGGAGGAGCATCGTGCCATCGCAGACGTCAAATCCTCCGCAGCTGCGATGCGGCGGGCTTCGCTGATTCCTCTCGGACTCGAAGACGTCGGTCGGTGGCCCCGTGCCGCTCCATCGATTCCCGTCGGGGTGTGCCGTAGGTCATCACCTCGCCCGCGCCGCCGGATGACCGCCGGCCGCAACGGGACTTGGCCGTGCCAGGGAATCGCGCCGTTTGTCGGTAACGGACCAGCGGCCGGCAGGAGGGAAGGGCAGCCGTGACTGTCTACTTTTCTCTTTTCTTCACTCTTTTTGGGCGAACTGGTTTTGCCGTTATGCTTTTTGCTTCATCCTGGAATCCGGAGGGCTGGCAACAGGATCTCTGGATCCCGCGGGGTACCCACCAGTGAACCGGTCAGCGTCTTTGTTACCTTTGCTTAATCTTTAGATCCTTACGCTTTTTTTTTCTTTTCTTCTTACCTTTGCGGAGCTGCATCCATGACCAACCGACGCCAAAGCCTCCTTTTGCTTCCGATATCGAGCGGTTTCCTCCTTGAAAAGGTGGAGAGTGTGTACGGCGAATGTAGGAAAGGGAGAGCAGGCGAGGGGCATGGAAGAAGAGCTACCTCTGATTTCGCCGTGTTTTCGGCGGATTGCGAGACCACGGTCGCGCGAGCCCGTTTTGGGTAAACGGAGTCAGCCGGCCGTGAAGCACGGGCTGCCCTTGTACTTGAACTAAAGCCGCGTCTATCGCTCCCCGCGGGTGCTGGGAGGCGAGCAGGAAGTAAGCGCTATAACGGAGATTGAGGACCTGCTGTGGAAGCTGAAAAGATGGGAGGGAGGAGGGAAGGAGGGGGGGCTCTCGACGTTCCATCGTTGCCCAGGCGAGACGATGCACGTCGAGTCGTAGGGGCCATCCGATCCGCTCGAGCGTTTGTTGCGGGCGTGCGGGGGCAAGTGGCGGCGTTTTGCACCGTTCCGCCGACGACCGACGGTACACGGAAGGCCGTCCCTACGGGTAATTGCGAGATGAGTACCTGCAGAGATTCATTGCGGAGCGCACGTGCAAACAAGACGGGGATGTAGTTTCGTTTAAGGCCTGTTCACACATGCAGCAGAGCGCTACAATCATAGCGTTGACCTCGCGCTAACCGTGTTGCTGACGGGAGCGCTCCCCATTTTTGTATCGCACCGTCAAAACTGTTGCTCATGACAGACGATAAGCAGCTGACGGCACGTGAGAAGCGGTACATCAGCGCGCTTCGCTGCATGTGGGAACCGGCCTTAAGTGCGCATTCGTGCGCCTACTTTGCTTTGAAAGGCAATGTTGGATTCGAACGGCTCCTTGGAACACGGAATGAGTCGGGAGACCCACCGAGCGTATGTCGAACAAAGACACTCTTGCTAGTGAAATTTGTTTGCGTTTCGCGTTTAACGTTTAACGATGCGATGGTCGTTGCTTCTACTCGAGGTTGTCAGATGATACATAAATAAGCCGGGAATGAGGCAGTTCCAGCAGCTTCTTTGCAAACAAATTGTGGCCCTTTGGATTGTTGAACCGAACTGCTCCCTCGTTCAGCTTTCACTTTGCTTTTAAATTTATGTTCGCTCTCTTAATTGCTGTAACAATAACGTTATCATAGTTGACGTGGGAAAGCCTTGTACTACTCGTGGTAAAAATAAAATAAAATGTGATTTCAGGCTTGTGAGGTCATCTATAGTGCTTTCGCAACCGGTGTCAATGCTCACCCTGCATACAAATAGGTCTGACCTCATTTTATTGGCTTGTAACTTATATATATATTCGCTTCAGCTTCCCAGTTACTGAATGGGACTGAACCGTAAGATCATTTTTATATCATGAAACACAACTTTGTTTCCGTAACAAGAGGACCGAAATTCGAATCTCAGCCGAGCGAAATTCCTCTTCAGTGTCAGCCCCAAACCTACGTAATCGCGTAGAAATATATCGAAAAATAGGAAACCACATCATCTTGTCAAAGGAATACGTCCGGTACTAAAACTGGGAGAATCATATACAAAAAGAACGATCAAAAAAGAAAGAGAAAAAAAAATCAGAACAACGCAGCCGATGTAACATGTTGAAGGGAGGGGGCGCGCGCGCCAGTAGCGTTAAAAGATGACCGTATTTTCGTCGACATTTGAAGCCCCACTAAACACTGCCTTCGCACACACCAAAAACGTGGCGCTCACATACACTTACTGGACCAAGGCCGCTTCAAAAAGATAGGCCAACGTTGTCTACCCCGGCTTTCGCAACCCCTGCCCCTTCTCTCGTAAAATAATAATAAAAAATAAAGATTGCGCTCGAATTTGAAGGCGGCCATCCGTGGTTCCTGCTCTCAAGCGCCTTATCGGTATCCCCAGCAAGCGCCGGCTGCAAACAATGGCGGCAACAGGCTTGTGTTTACTTTGACATTCCCCGTTTGGCCCGCGTCGCAGTTGCCGGCGCCGTCCTACCCCGTTCAACCCTCCCTACTCCGACTGGGAGCCCCAGACCCGAAGCAACCGGGTACGCCTTCTCCAATTCTCAGTCTCCAACAATGCCACGTGACTCCGGTTTTCCGGGGCAAAAGTGAATGCACGTGACGTGTTTCTGGTAAGTGATTGGTGTGGAAATACTACAAGCTCCGGCTTTCGGTCAGAGCCAAGAGCAAATGGGACGCGGAACTTTTTTCCTCGTTAGCGCTTATCGAAATGTAAAGCAGTTGTTTGGATAAGTCCAGAAAACAGCGCCTCTTCCCGGCGTCAACGTTTTTTTCACTCGTCGCGTGGTGAGCGAGTTTGCTACCCTGAACGTTCGGTGTTTGTTTGTTTGTTCGCTCGCTCGCTTGTTTATTTTGTTTGCTCGCGGTGGAATTATTTTTGTTTTTGTTTTACTTTTCTTGCTTGCGTTTCAGGAAAGCTATTTTCTCGTGGCGTGGTGTTGCGTCTAAACTATCGCTGAGATCCGTCATTGTCTCTTCCAGTTTCCTCTAAAAAAAAGAAAAAAAGGGCACGACCTTTGTATTACTTACGAAGCGCTTTTGCGTAAATTAATTAAAAAAATAATAAATTGCAAAGATTTTTGGGTGATTTGAAAAGGATATGTTTTGATAAAATATATGAGAAAAATAATCTTAGGTGTGCATACAAATACATTTATACAGCACATAAGCGACGAAATCTGTGCCTCTCCGCAAGAAGCCGAATCATTTTTTTCCTGCGTCTTTTGAGCTGCAAATGAGTGCCTGCATGATTTTATACGCTGCTCTCTTCCGATTCCGTTTATAAATCATAGTTAATCTTGTTCATTCAATATCAGATTATTAGGTATCTAAAAACACATTAAATAGCCTTAGTTTGTACGATCGCTAAGTGACATTTTTAGCGCGCTTCAAATCTGGGCCACTATTAAAGCCCGTTTCACCCCTAACTACGACCGTAGCCAATCCCACACCACGATGGAACCAATGAAACAGCACCAAAAGTGCATCGTCATGTGCTCGTCGTTCTCGTGCGCTTGGTATCACCGGCTAACCCAATCACGTATACAGTGCGCCTTGACTCTGCCCTTTTTTTTTTGTGCCCGATTGGTTAGCCGGTGATACCAGACGCACAAACATGGCGACCACAACGGCGATGAGCTTTTTGAGCATTTAAGCAGTTGTCGTATACACATTTCTATAAAAGCATATTAGAGCACCTTGATTGTAGTGTTCGTGTGCTATGCACGCGCACTTTCTGCCTGGCCGTTATTGCGCGCGAGCGCTGACTAGAATGTGATTTAGCACGTGTGGACTGGGATTTTTTGGAAACGGTGGAAAGGTGTATAAACGCCGCAGCCCTTCGTCGATTTATTTAGAACCGCATACAAAATCTTCAGGACCGAAAAGGAACAGCATAAATTGAAACATAGTCTCAAGCCCTTGTGATATCTTGACAATTGATTTGCTGACCCGAGGTAGCTTGCAGCGAAGTTCAGCAATGACTTGCCCATGACGAGTATCAAGGCAGTTGACTGTCGAAGCTATCTCTGTGAATGGTCAATTCAGAAAAATGGAACTGATGGTGAGTTACGAGAATTGCTTGATATCAAATCGGTGACTCTCTAAGCCGCAAACACCAAAGACGATTGTGTTGTCATTAATTTTACCTTAGCAGCACGATGCATCTCATTCACTCGGGGCATCAAGTGACACAGCCTACCTAAGACCGTACTGTTAAGGTTTCGTTACTTTTTTTTATACCACAAATAAGGAAATTTCCAATGTAATAAGAATAAAACAAAACTAAATTGACCATCGACCCCATTCACACGGTAAACATAAAGGTACCTGTAACATAAGTCCCTTTGCTAACGGCGAATCGGCTCGTACTCTTGGGTCGCGAGCACACGCCACGCGCGGAAGATCGTGAATTGATTGGCCTCAGAGAATAAAGGCCCCTTAGCTAAAGGTACCTTTACGGTCGTGTGAATTGGATTTAAGTGTCCATTCACACAAGAAGAAAATAATTGGGTTGTGTGTATCTTTAGACAACCTAGAACTTGGTCTGCCTCAACGGGCGACGAGCGTCCCAGCAGTAGATAAGATATTTGGCCAGTGCAGTACAACCGCTTGCCTATTGGCGACGTGAACGATCGAAAGCGTCGCTGTGGTCGGCCTTCCGCGATTGGTCGAATGCTGACTATGACGTCAGCAAAGGATTTCTCATCGACGAAAATAACAGGATTGGAAGAACTTCAATTTCAACGGTGTTGGTAGTGTTCCTTAAAGATCGCAATAATTTTAAGGTTCTACCATGCTCATTACAAACACCATCGAACTTGCTGTTCGCAAAGTAATGACGTCACGAAAGGTAACCATAGGAGGGCGCCACTAGAACATCTCGCCGCTAATAGCGTCGTTAAAGTGCATCACGCAGTAGTGATGCACGACCGCACGCCGGTACGATGCTCATCCAGATCGAAACGGGCAAGGGTGGGGAGATTGAACCCAGGATCCCGGGTTCTGCAGCGCGAGCTTTCGCTC